GGAATGAAAAATCCATGAGTGCTCATTAGATGGGTTTACAGGTGGCTAATGAGCTGATATTTAAAACGTATTGCTTATTCTATCTCTCTCTCACACTCTCCCTTTCTTCTTCCCTTCTTTTCTTCTCAGATTGGCTGCCCTCCAAGACAGAACACCCGCTAGTCTGCTGGGGTGCCAGTATTGCTCTGTATCAGCAAAATGTCAGCCAGGGACACACATACACACACACACACACACACAAGATCCAGACTGCATATCCCCAGTGCCTACTTCCATCAGGTAGAAGCACACATTCAACATGGACAACCTTAATTTGACTCTGGTAGTATAGGTTTTTAATAGGCTATGTGACCCAAATGAACTATTTCACTTGTCTGTAATTATGCGCATGATAGCTGTTCTAGTCCTTACGAAAAAATGATATGTGTTGTCCTCATTAAAAATCACCTCACCTTTTGAACCACTGTGTGATTAAAAAGGGCAATTCCACCACGAGTCAATGCCTCGTCATTCATGCCAGTCGTCGCTCCATGGGCAAAAGCTGTGTCAGGTAGATTGCCCATGGACCATAACCACTCTAGTCGCAGCGCAGGAAATATTACCTCAGTAATCTGCAGCAAGAGGCATTTCAGCTGGAAATGGCTCCCTGCTCTGGGGTTGTATATACGGCCGGGGCTGAGTCGAGCTCATAATTCAATGCGGCCATTGGCACTTCTCATCCTGTGTCTGCTGAGGAGGCTGGGTACTGGCTAAATGACAGTGAAAAGCCACAACGACACTTCTACCATCGCATTACGACTGGCAGAGACCCCAGGGCACTATGACTGGAGTGCTAAGTGAGAACATGGCTGCCAATCACTTATTAATCTTTGTGTGATCAGAAGTGGCAGCCGACATTAGAGAGGAAACCTGGGATGTGGACCCAGCTGGTGCAAGGACATTAGCTCTGTGTCTACTCTCAATGTCTGAGTGGCTCGCACACAACCCTACACACACACACACACACACACACACACACTCTATTGTGTCTCCATGACTTCAGAGGACATTACATTGACTCACATTTATTTTTTGAAGACTTACACTAACCCCAGCCATTGTTGCTACTTGCCTAACATTAGCCTAAACTTAGCCATAACCTAATCTTAAACCATGTCTTCACCTTGAAATTAAATGATTATGTTATGGGGATTTGCTTTTTGTCCCTATAATGCAGAGAAGTCCCGATAATGTGGCTGTATAACAGATTTAGGTCCCCACAACAACAGTAATACCTAAATGAAGGTCATCTGTCCGCAACCTTTTCTGCTCTATACCGTGTAATATCGTGAGATATTAAAATACCAAAGCATATAACCTGATTTCTGAAGCCTCTGCATGAGGTAAATAAATCTGAGGGCAAACATAAATGTCAAACGTAAAATCAGCACAGAGATAGTGAATCCCTGAGGCACTACATAAATGTACAATTCATTCCAATAGTTGTGTATATGAGGGCTGGTTACAAATCCAAACCTATGTGTCTGAATTCATCTCTTATTTACTATACAGTGCAGTATATTTACTTTATCCTTCTCTAATTTTACATAAAACCCTCAATTTATCTTAAAATAGAACAAAAATTAAAGGTTTAGTATATAGAATTTAATGACCTCTAGTGGTGAAGTTGCATGTTGCAGGTGAATACCTGTTACCTCAGCTTTCCCACTTCCAAACATGAAAGAGAACCTGTGGAAACCTTCAGTTGTTATAAAAACTCAAAAAGGTGTTTAGTTTGTCCACTTATGAGGACCGTAAAAAACATGGCGGTAAATATAAAGTATTTAATAAAGGGTAGCCTGCCACGCAACCACACCGACAGCACGTTTCGAGCAAGCAGCGCTGAGTTATTCACCCTATTGTGAATATGGGTTAGGGTTGCAATTAGGGTTAGGGTTGTGATTAGGGTTAGGGTTAGGGAGGAAAACCCATTGGAGATCAAGATATTCTTCAATAACTCTTTTTCTGTAGGTCATAGAGACTTGGAAGTTGGTTCCAGCTCCATAAATGTGGCTCTGCCCGATCCATTGGGACCATCCCTGAGCTTCTACGACCTTCTGAAATGGTGAAACCGCCAAATCTAAAAAAAGTCAGGTAAACAGGAAACATACGAGACAACTGTTTCTGAGTAATAGCATGAAAAACTGAAGCCACCTATAGTCTGGTTAACACAGGAAGCTGTCTGCTCTTACATCTGCATGATCAGGGTCAACAAGAGGATCATCATCAAGAAAGGACATGAACTCTGAGGTTACATCTGCCAAGTGCATAGCAACAGTCATGGCCTTGGCTAGTTAAGGGTAAAAAAGTAAAAGGTGTCTGTCTAGTTTCGAATCGTCCTTCTGCACAAATGCCAGACAGTTCTTCTTATGCAAGCACAATTGTGTTTCTATATGAGTTATTGTTGAACACAGCACACTTGCAAAGTTAAAATGCAAGTTTTCCATTACAGTTTGGTTGCATTTGAAGACTTGATGTTATAAACTAATATCCTGCAGAATCAATTTTAGAAAAATAAGATACTGTGTGAGCATGATGAGAATTTAATTTGGAATTCAACAGGACAAAAAATCAAAACACATGTGAGAACCGAGTTCCAAAGCCACTTTTGCAAACACAAATATTTTTTAAGTTGTCCGTCTATTTTACATAGTTGAGTAACAACACTGAGTTACTTCACCACCACTTCCCAATTCGCAGTCTAACTCTGCCCTAAGTTTTTTCAAAGGCTTCAAAAAACTCTAACTCAATTACATGTGGAAAGAACCGGAATCAGCCAAAAATCAACCATGCACAGTTTTTTGGAATCAAGGTGATTCAAAACCCCAAATTCCCAAGACACAACATTAACATACAACCTTGGTGTCCTCGGTAATGGCTAAATCCCTGCCCAGGCCATGTGCTCTCCATGCCACAGTGGTAATTCACTAAATATCTGTGCATAACAATGGAATGCTCATTTTGACCATTAAAAACCTTCTCAAGCGGTTTAACTTGTGAAAAACTTCAAAAAGTCAAAGTATTGAGTCATGGTTTGAACAGATTCTAACTCCTGTGAGCACTGGGGACGTGCTTGTTAAATGTACTGATCTTGGGCCGCAAAAAAAGCTGTTAAGTGTGTGTTTTTTCAAACCATTAAGAGGCCTAATTGAATGGGGAAGCTGCATGCCAAAAAGAGACAGATTCAGCTGGTTTCAACGGCCTATTCGGCTCCACTCTTCTTTCTCTGTCTGATAGATTGCAGTGCTTATTCCCTTTCCCCTCCTATTTGTCGTCATTGTGTTTCAGTCTAACTTACCAATAGTCTCAACACATTTAGCAGAGACTTTAAATGATGCCCTTATTTGTGTTTTTACTGCAGCTGATTTATTATAAAAAATAATCAGATGCTCTATTTATGGAAATGAGTGATTTCACTTTGAGACAGCCTATGATATATGACAAGCTTTATCTACCTACTAATTCTACAAACATCTGTCTGTCTGTTTGTGGATTGCATATCTTGAGAACTGTTCATGTTATCAGTTTCACACTTGGCATGTTTATTGTAAATGGCTCCAGGGAGTGTAGTTATACATTTAATATCAATGAAATTTAAATAAACACCACCATTCTGTAGCAGTCAGAGAGGGGGGGGGCAGTGCGCCTTCAGTCTGTGGACCGAGTTGAGCATGTCTTCTTCTACGCCCTCACATAAACCACAGCAGTGGTCAACAACTGGGTCAAACCACAGGTCAAAATCTCAGCCAAATCAATTTGATAGCTTGATTAGTTTTCTTTTCTCCATGTCAGACTGACACAAACATATTCGGGTGTCAATGGTGCTGATCTCTGTCATGGCAGTCATAAAGTCATAGCATTGCTTCCTATTTGGCAATTTGTCTTCAAAGTAGAAGCACAGCGTTCATCTTATTGCTGCAGTGCTTGCTACAGAGCTGCTATTTTGAAAGGTTGTGAACCTGGGTCTGAAGATTGCTTAACAGACAGGAATAAAATCATACTAGTTATGTTAATTATTCAAACTTGATGAACAGTTGAAAAGCAAATTCAGTTTAATTTTATGAAAAACATTCACTTTAAAATCTTGCGGATAAACCAGACAGGATGAACAGAAAGTTTTCTAACTTCCCTCCTCACCATAGTTTATAAAAAGCTCTACACACAACATCCAGCACACAGATAATAAAAAATGACAGTATATAGAACTGTTTGAGGAGGACTCACTGTTCTGACTCCTGTCAGTGTCTTAATAATGGTTAGTGGCCCCCTAGTGGCATGTCAGGGTTTTGCGCCTGGAAAAGTTTGACTTGAGAAGTGCACTAACATACATAACACAAGCAGGCTGTGCTCCACCACGGAGTGGTTGTTGTCTAGGCCTTGGAGTAGATCCATCAGTAAGCATGGCTGCTGTTAGCTCATTTAAGTTGTTGAAAGTGCATTAGAGTTAAAAACCCTTTGTTTCAGTTGGTAAAATAGTGCTTACAATGCTAATGCTAACAGCATACTGCAAAAAGATGTGTGTATGCCTCATGTAATATTGTGTTGTACTTACCTGGTTTATAACCTGAAAAGAAAGAAGAAAGTGTGACCAGTGTTGTTACATATATTTAATTTCAATTGTAACATTATGTGTATTTTCATTGTGTTGCAGTTTTACAAAAAAGTCTCTGAAGATTTCAGTAAATCGTTCTCAACCTGGAATCACGCCTACTGGGTCTTTCCTGTTAGCTATCTGTCTACAAACACAGCTCACGTATTATCCAGGACAGAATACTCACTAATGTCAAGGAATAATTCTGAGGGAGCTCCGGAGCATTAACACACACACACACACACACACACACACACACACAACACTGCAGGAGCGGTTTTAAGGTCATGACCTCATCAAAAGAATCCCAAAACAAACCCACACCCACAGACGGCATGAATCAGAGGGTGTGTCTGTGTGCGGACAGCCTGGTTGACTTGCAGTGATCTGTGCTCTCAGGCTGAGCATCGCTTCCTTAAACAGTCATATGACAGCGCAGACAATCTGGCGGAAGAAAGAGACGTCAGCGCTTGTTTTCGGCCCTGCGCACATAGAGCAGGCTGCCGGTCCGCCCCTGTCTGAGTGCTACGGAAACTTCGCAGGGGGCGTTGGTGAATGACTGCTCTTTCGTGCGTTGACGTAAATCAGACTGCATTTTTTTTTGGTACCGAGCGGAGAGGAGATGCACACGGCACTCGAGTGAGGTAACTATATAAAGAAACCCATTCGGTATCATCCACTCCCACAACATGGACCCGGGCAGCGTCTCACCGCAACGTGTCGGTGTCTGTCGCCGCCGTTGTGGACGTTGCCCGCGGCTTGTCAGACACAATATGACAGCGTTGCTCTTTGTTGGCGGAAGAAGCTAATTTCCTATTGAGTCGCGCTAGCTGAACGCTAGCCGGCTGGGTTGTTGCTGTTCGTTAGCAGGCTAGCGTTAGCCTGTGGGAGAGAGGGGCGACAGACAAGTGAAACGGGGGCTGGTTGGCTTTGAACGGTCATGTCGGTGCATCTCTCCGGTGCTAGCTCTGGATACCGGGCACCGTGACACCGACACGTGTGATTACTGTGAACGCTGCGGTTTGTGTCACGAGGAGCGGCGGAGAGCTCGCGCGTTGTTGCATTATATGCACCACGTGCGGCGCCGGGTTCTCCCTCGTTAATCGGTAACTAGCAGCAACGAGGCGAACCCACGAGTTGGATGTTCAACTTGGCTCATGTTCTAATGCAACAGTTTTATTGCCCCCCTGATGATCAGTACTCCCTGTTCACACTTTAATGTGGTTGATCACATCAGTTGACTGGTGATGAGCGTGATTATGAGATGTTAGAGCTGCAATAAAAGCATCTCCATGCAGGTTCAGCAGTTCAGCCTTTAAAATATGCAGTAATCTGATTTATAAAGTTGCATGGTTCTTTCATAAGCCAGTCCACAAAGTAAACCTAACTCCCATCCCCTAACGTCTCCACATACTGTCCTCCGTGTGGTTTTGTGAACTGATACTGTCAGATTTGGAGAAATGAGGTGCAGGTGCAACAAGTTCACTGCTCAGCTCAGTCCTGCCGTCCACCTTATTCAGAGGACTTTGTCTTTACTGGCTCAGCTTTCATTTGAATCAGTTTTAGGGTTTGGCTCAGGAGGAAAAGTCAGGCTCACTTAAATGTAACTTAGTTCCACATACGCAATCTTTAACTCTGTATCATCATGTGCAATCCATTACACTGTATTCTGCTCACAGTGTATATACTCTGTTATATTAAGTATGTCATTTATATTTCATGGTTGCCGAAAGCTTTTTTGAAAGTTTGCTTTGCTGCAGCAACACAGTAAATGTCTGTGTTGTGGGACTTATGTATTTTCTTTCACACTATATCAGTTATGTAGTGATCTTTTGAAAATTCTAGTTTTCAGTGAGACACACCCTGGTTATCTGTCCTCCTCCATAAACCCTAGTCAACTACACAGGACAAACACGTGACGCCTTCAGGATTAGAGGTTTTGCCTGAAATAACAGATTGAATGTTAACACATAAAAATTTACAGAAATTACAATGCATTTATGTCATGTATGCACAGAAACCTGCACCAAGTTGATAAGAAATGCAAGTCTTCTATTTTGCTGAACAATACACAAGTTATGTTTTGATTTGGATTGTGGGGATCTTTTCACATATGTTTGGAATTTCCGGTGTGTTAAGATGCATCACCAGACCTTGTTTACTTCTGCGACATACAATTATCACTTTGATTGCCACATACAGCTTAAAGGCATAGCCAAAAACTATTTTGTAGAGACCTCCATCGTGTCATTGTGTAGTTTCAAAGGATTTCAGTGCTAAGAGCGTTGGTTTTGTGGTGTGGGAAACACATCAATAGTTAAGATTTATGTCCCAAGTGGTATACAGTTGTATGATGGAGTTGCAGGGAGGGGCTGGAAAGAGCATCTAGGCTCAGCAAACAATTAATGTGTGTAAGTCTTTGCTTAACAATTAAAGTAGGTTCATGTATGTGGACACAACACGTTGGCTTGTTTATGTAACCGTTTACAGAAGGCGATGCCGTTATTATGATTATAGTGGTACACAAAGTAAGCAAACAGGATGGTCACATACTGGCCTGGAGGTTTTGTTAAAACTGGATAGAAGGTGGAAGTTCTTTGAATTATGTGTCATATATCAGGTCTATTGAGGACATTATGCACAATCACCCCTAAAATCAAATGACCTTCCAAACACTGATGTGATGACACAGACTCTAGATTACTTGTCTTGTATGGCTACATATTATTCACAGCCTCCATATTTATTAATATGCCACTTTTTATGTAAACTATGTCCTGTATTATAATTTGGCCTGTGGTCATTTGTGTATGGATATTAATGTATAACCTCTAATTTGAATCTTATGAAGTTGTTAAAAAGCTGTAGAGCAGCTCTTAAAGGTACAGTGTGTAGAATATTGTGATAGTGTTGAAATTGCATGTTGCAGCTGAACACCCCTCACCTCACCCTCCTCTTCTAAACATGAAAAAGAACCTGTGGTAGCTTCCGTTCTCATAAAAACTCAAAAGGTGTTTAGTTTGTCCAGTCTGACCTAATGTAAAAAACATGGCGGCCTCCGTAGAGAGGACCCCTCGCTGTAAATATAAAGTATTTAAATATAAAGGGCCTTTTCTCGGGTTAAGAAAACTACAGTTCATACAATTTAGATAATGAACTAGTGAAAACATACTGAGAATTATTTTACATAAAATTTCTGCCTATAGATCCCTTTCACCTAAATCTTACACACTGGACCTTTGGGAGTGATTCAGGCTAAAATGCTTTTTTCATTTCAAAATCAGTCCCAAAGTAGAGATGCACTTCATCTTTCTTTAAAAAAAAAACACGTATTCTAACACTAGGTGATACTCACAGTTGTGTCTAGCTGCAAATTTCTTATAAGATTACTGCAAACATATGCCAGCCTGGCCTGTTTGATTAAGTGCTCACTATGTCCACAATCTGCTCCATGTGGAACAATGTTCCCACATTCATGCTGACATGGCATTTTGAACAGTAACATAAGGCTGTCCTTCCCACATTTTTTTGATGGTCATATCAACCATTATCTGGTTTCAAATGATAATGGGAAGGTCCTGTTTCCCCACTTGTAAAGATGTTGTTCCAACTTCTGTGTTAATGTACTTTGAACATGGAAAAATGTGTTTTATAGAGTGTTTAAAAACAACATGATGCCTCTGTCCAATATTTGGCTGACATAGATAGATAGATAGATAGATAGATTACTTTATTCATCCCCGAAGGGAAATTAAGTCGTCATAGCAGCTGGTATATTTGAATACAATAAAATACAATACAATAGAATAAAATAAAATATTGAGGTAGAAAGAATAAAAACAGAAACACAAGATGAATAGGTAGATAAGATAACGTGCAGTGGCAATATGATGGTAATAGTACTGATGATATGATGGTAATGTTATTGTTAGACAGTACATAAAAATAGTACAGTATACATATATAGTATATAATATAACATAATATATATTTATATAGATAGTAATTATACCAATATAATAGCAGTATATAGTAATAATGGCAGCAACAGTATATATAATAATAATAATAGTAGTAGTAATAATAAAATAATAATAACATGTACACATGTATAAATGTGTATATAGACTTATATATACGAAGAATATATTAAGAATATACAAAGAGTATGATATAATATGATATGTTATATAGTAGAGGTATAAATATAAGTTCTTGACTATACAATAGATAATATAAAATACTATGAGTGTAAGAATATGTAGACAGAGTGTGCAAAAAGACAATATTATTGTATAAAATGATCTGTAATATCATTATGGTTTAAATTAACACATATCACATATGATGAGAAGTAATGTTCCAGTATATGGGGCGGAGTGTTATACAGGGTACACAGTGCAAGGAGACAGGTATATTTAGTGTAGTTCTGTGATGATGGCTCTGACAGAGGTATATGAGTTATAGAGTCTTATTGCGGTTGGGAGGAACAATTTCCTGTATCGTTCCTTAGAGCAGCGGGGTTGGATGAGCCTGTGGCTGAAGCTGCTCTTTAGTTTGTCCAGTATTTTGTGGAGGGGGTGAGAGGGATTGTCCATAATTGCCAGCAGTTTTGCCAGCATCCTGTCCTCCACCACCTCCTCCAGGGTGACAAGCTTAGAGCCAACCACAGACTCGGCTTTCCTGATGATTTTGTTCAGTCTGTTGGCGTCCTTTGTCTTGATGCCCGCACCCCAGGACACCACAGCAAAGAAGATGGTGCTCGCCACAACAGACTGATAGAACATCTGCAGCATCTTGTTGCAGACATTGAAGGACCCGAGCCTCCTCAGGAAGTAAAGCCGGCTCAGGCCCTTCTTGTAGACGGCCTCTGTGTTGGTGGACCAGTCCAGTTTATTGTCCAGTGTGATACCCAGGTACTTGTATGCAGGTACCACCTCCACATCCGTCCCACCGATGCAGACAGGAGAAGGCAGGGGCTTGTTCCTCCTGAAGTCCACCACCATCTCCTTCGTCTTTGCCACGTTGACATAAATCATTTAAAATGTATGCATGTTAGTAATAAATGTCCGTACTGGATAAATAGTCTGGTGATTGTGAGAGATGCAGTTTGCAAGGGACAAAAGTAATATTTGAAATCATACTATTTGGTTTATGAATGATAACGTCAGCAACTGGTGCTCCACACTTTTCGCTGACTTCAAGATTTATTGTGCTGACGTCATGATATGGTGTTCATATGAATTTTTCCATTGGGGAACTAACTGTTCCTATTATTCCACTGTGGCTAAATACACAATGTTGTTCAAAACCTCAATCTCTGTCGTGTCATATGAGAATTATTGTTAGAAAACAACTTGTTTAAACTGTGGTTCAGTAACTCGCTTGAGCACTTGTACCTTTCAGGTCTTGAGGAGAACCAACACTAGTGAAGCAGCAGTTTGCTTAAGAGCAAAGTTGAGACATTTTATCGCGGTTGAGATCACTATTTCAAAAACCACCAGATCTGTCTGCTTTCAAATGACTCCAGCTGCATCACTGTGAAAATCAGATGTCACACACAGCTGCCATTATCCCCTCACCTCTTGCCCAGTTTGCTCACCTACTCCTGCTCTTGAAATACCTTACCATTACTTTTTTGAACAAATATTGGGTAAATTGAAGAGGAACATTGCAACAACTTGAATCACTGCTTTTAGTACTTTCTATAACAGACATCAGTTTATTGCTCAAATATATTCCCACTTATGTTTAAGATCTGAGGATATACTTATTTATGTCAGGTTAAGTCTGCAAATCTGTAGTGACATTGGGAAGATTAAGCGCTTTAAAAATGTTGAGTGTGGTTTTTTTAAAGGACATTCCACTGTTTTAAAGAATTAAAAGCATTAGGGAGAACACTCTGCTTGGGTATATTGGTACATTTACTCTGATTTACATCAAGGCAAAAATACCAAAATGAGCAGAATGACCCACCAATAGTTCTCATGTAGACACACACACACACACACCCACCCCATGAGAAGCTGGTCAGGTGGATGATCTTAGACACAGCTCCCTGACTGCTTAACTTGCAGGGACATACACACTCCCTCCCTGTAAACCCACCCCACCCTGTACAAATTAGTTAAGTCACTGGGCTCAAAAATCCTCAAAACATTCAACCTGTTCCTCATGTCGGTGCTGCCGTGAACATTTTGAATTGGTGTGAACTGCTCTTTTTTTAGCTGGTTTCTGTCTGAGGTAAGCATCATCCTTGTGTTTTTCCAAGGTGTCATTTGTGTGACATGTTGCCCAGTATCATACTGATTCTGTTCTGTTTACGTGTCTGGGTCATGTTTGGCCTTGCAGTCTTTCACTTTTTCGCGCTATGATGAACATGATTCCAGGCCACAGAGCATCGGCCATGCACCTGCGTCTCACTGCAGCCATCACTTGCTGTTTTGTGTAGCAGCTCCAGAGGAATTGAGCACTATATTATATGGCATCTTCCATCAGCAACATTGAATAAATGACTCTGTTGTTGTATAAAGGGCTGTTTGACTATGTAAGACGTTCGGGGAAGTTGCAGCATGTTTACGTTGGTTTTATTTGCACCTGCATGTGTCGTGCATGGCCTAATTTATCACCGAGGGGTGTGAGGTGTTTGAGGTGTCAGCCTCGTTTTCTCTGTAAATTTGTTTTACTCACACAGCATACTTAGGACAGCCACATGGACATTAGCGTTTGTTTGGGGAAGCCGGACATATGCAGGACTCGACACGGAGATTGATTTGACATTTCTTGGTCATTAATTTGTTCTCTAATTCGTTCGATGACAAGTGTGTCTTGAGCTGTTTATATTAAAACATGTCTTTACCTACCACCCTGAGTTGAGTGCTTGTTAAATAATTTCTGGTCAACTTGTTAAAGATAAAGATTTCAACGTCTCTGTGGATATGTTGTGTTGTTGGGTCAGGAGATTTGTAGGAGAGCTTTAATGACAAATTGCACAGAATAGCTGCTCATGACCTGTCAAAATGACTACCTATATTTGTGTGTGTGTTTGTATATTGTAATCAGTAGTGATTAATTGTCTGTGTCATGACAAAAGCACAATACTTCCAAACACACAGAAAATACTTGCTTGTGTGTCTTGTGGACACAGTCAAAGCTGTAATGATGTCATATTTCGACCGTCAGGGCTGTAAGGTCTCGAATAAGTGTTTATTAGAATAAGTGATGGGTAAGATGAATACAGTTCACGGTCACAAGCTGTTATTTCTTTAGTCAACACATCACGTGCCACTTGGACTCAGGGGCGTCACTTCTGTCAAACTTTCCTGAGCCTCATGAGCAGATAATTGTCCTCCAAGATTTTGTTACCATCTGCTTTGAGTTGGGTCCGTGTGCGGCTGACATCTGCACTGTCTCGTGCCTCAGGCCTTACTAAGAAAATCCCAACTCTGACTTGTTCTTATTTTTCTATCTCAAGACTAAAATTGTATTCTGATGCCGCACTTACTGCAAGCTCTTGGTTCTGTATCTCCCTGACTTTAAGAGTATGGATGAAAAAGTGGAAGCTTAATACTGTGTGATGTAACCAGCACAGGTCCTGGGAAACTGCCTTTCCTTTTGAAGATTTGTATCAAGAGCTTATAATATGATGCTTAGGAATCTACACATTTCAGTCTTGTCTTTTAAGTTGTGATAAAATACTATGAAATACAACTATATAAAGTAGTGGAAGAAAGCACCTTTTGAATTTAGAATGTCACTCAGTGGAGGGCATATCACCACCAAGGTGCAACAGTCCCCTTAAATTCAATCATCCTGCACCAAATTGCACACACTCGTAATATCAGTCCTCTTAAGTTTATGTGATTTCTCCCCCCCCCCCATCAAGATCCATTAATTATTCCCTGGAAACACCCTATCTCTCAACGTTTAAGAGAATTAGCGAAAATTGTGCGATCCTCCCCTTTCAGAGGATCCAATGCAAATTTTGTCATGTCTCATTCTTCTAACAAATTTCGTGGTAATCCGTCAAGGAGTTTTTGTGTAATGCTGGTAACTAACAAACAAAGAACTGAAAATGAAAACACAACCATGGCAGAGTTATCAACTTATGTGAAAGTAAGAAGTAGCATTTCCCACAGTATTAATTCAATCCATGGTGGTAATGGATTGCACACACAAATGTCACTCTCACATGCTACAAGTGACAGGTACACAGACTGAAGGTTGAAAGCCAAGTTTTTGTGTGAGAGACAGAACTGCATCAAAGCCACAACTGCAGCTGAAACTATGCAGTCTGACTGCATGGACAGCAACAATGTTATGGACCATAGTGCTTGCACGGAGTAGCTCATGGTAGCACAAGCACGTGGTAGCGTGATTTAATGAACAATCATATTGCGCTGCAAATAGCACTGCACATACCAAGTTAGAGATGTCTTATGAGAAGTGCAAAACATGTTTTGGTTCATTATGCAACTGTGGCAGGATAAATGTGGTGGGCTGCCACAGTCTAGATAATGATTAATAAAACACTGGGACGTTTTATCGGTTTTCTTTTATTGCTCCTCCCCTTTGGTCACTTTAAAACTTTACAAGTGTAGACAGGAGCACATTACAAGATTCACATGTAATGTAATATGTTACCTGCCAGCCATTGCCTCTTAATTTATTTTTACCTCAAAGAGCAACACAATATTAATTTAGAAAACACTTTTAGCCCTGAAGATGACGTGCTATTCTGTTCTACATTTGCATTTTGTAAAGTGGGCACTTTTCCTCCATTTTTCGATAACCTGATGTGTTTGTATGTGTCGCACTCCCCTCACTAAAGACGTTGATCATTATGCCAAATGTGTTAGGCAACACTTTGTTGAAAATAACAAAAGCTATTAAAATAAAGCTGAGATGTGGTTAACATTTCTCTTAAGACATGAGTTTGAACCCAGAGATGTTCATGATTGGCTTTATTAGTTTTAGTGAAAATCAAATTCAAGGCTGAGAGTGCTTTGTATTTTTCTAATAAGAAACAGATCAGAATCAGTGGCTAAAAGAAAACACATTTATGTCCTTGTTTTGTAACTGTAAACAGTCGTTTCATGAATACCAGAATAGATGTGTTGTTACTTCAATGCTCTCTCCGTTTCCTTGCAGACACTGGCTTGATACAGACATAAGGCGGATGTGTGTGGTCGTGTGAGAATCATATGAAGCAGCTTAAGGTCAAAGACATTTTTCCCCCAACTGAGAAATAACAAGATTCCTGTCATCATCAACATGGGAAAAGACAGGGAAAATATTTTTGAGGTGAGGAGCTATCTATTGGAAAAGGTTCTTTTTAAGTTGATTATTTTTTTCAGCTGGTGTTCCATGCTCATGTGATAGATGTAGCTTGGAAAATGACACTGTAGACTTTAAGATCAGCTAATAGTAATCCTAAAAAGGTCATTTAAAATGATGGTTTAAATGATGTATCTTATCAAGGTGGACTTTATTACTCAAAATTATTTCAGTTGTTAAATCACTTTTCCAAAACATTTGCAGTTTTCTTTGAAGTTTTTTAGTGTGGCCACAGGGTTGTTTAAAACCACAACCACATCCATTACAGTGCACTTGTGTGGCTGCAGACTTACATGACACAGGATATTTTATAAAGGAAATCAATGAAAAAAGGAATAAGCCTCATACGCTATGATTTAAGTGTAAACCTTGCAACCTTGCAAACATGAAGACAGACTTTTCCACACTCCATCACAGTATCACATACATTTTCATCCTTGCCATGAGGGAAATCCTTCAAAACAAAGGTGCTGTGTGTTCAAGGTCATACAAGAGAGACAAATAGGCATGTTTGTGTGATTAGACAAAACTCATCTGCTGACTTGATGAGCACCTCTGGTAGCTCAGATTCATTGTAAGTTGGCATCGCAGTGCTGGAAGATGACAAAAGAAAACCTCAGAGGAGGTTGCAAACAGTGCTGCTGGTACAATATGTTAAGTTGGTATTAATAGGTGACATTGCATTTTATCATCAGTATCATATTATTAACTGCACCAACTTGTCTTCAAGTCCTCTGCTGTACTGTAGGAGCATTTTAAATGTGTAGGAAACAGGAATGTGTTGTTTTTTTCTCAGCTAATTTCTATAAATTGATGAGAAGCTATTTTGTCACTTTGGTCACTGAATTCACCTCTTACTGTTCTTAAACTATCAACATGTCTGCCATTAAAAACAAATTAACATAACTTTTACAAATTAAAATCTCTAAAAGTGACTATATATTTACATTGTTGACCTTCATACTTATATTATCCCCAAACTTCTCACCAATTTTATTCACCTATAAAAATCCATAAATTTAAGCAATGTGGTAATCTGTTTCACTTGGTTGCCTGCCAATGTTGTTGCCAATTGTTTTAAACCAAACTAAGGACTTTAGTCATCAGACATCTGGATCTTTAGTTATCAGAAAAACAAACTGAGCAAACAGTATTTAGCTCCTGATAAAACCCTCCTGATTGATTTATTACACTGAAGGCATCTTAAGTGGGAGAAACTGACTGGTTTACAACAAACGCTGTCATGAATGAGAACCCTTAGGTGGCAGAAAATTACACACTGTGCTTTAAAGTGATAGGTTCAGAGTTCTAAAGTACATGAAAGTGTGATTGAAATTGCAGTAGAGTTAAATTATTAAATCAGTTTTCGTTTTAAAGTTTTATATATGTCATGCAGTTGAGTAATCACTGCTCAGCAGGGTTTCCCTCAGTGTAAAGAGGTGAATAGCTCTGCCTAAAATAAAGAGTGACCCTCAGGGCTTTACCACCTATGCTGACCAATTTCCAGAGAGAACCCCTGCACAGTATGAGCTTATGAATGAATTAAATAGCAACACTCAGCTGGAGCTTTGATGTAGTTCTTGTGATTAGTCTGACAAAGGCTTTGAAATCTGACCAGACATCTCTATATCGGCAAGTTTCAGGCTCAGGGCTGGTTTTCCACCAGCAGCAGCAGCAGCAATAGGAAACATTCAGAGCGTATTCAAACTAAAACATCTCTATCCACACAATCTTTGCAGAAGTTGTGAAAGAAACTGTAGAGAGCACTAATATATACACTATATTGCTGTAAAATCTAATTTCATGTATTTTCCATGGTGACAAAGGATTTGTCTCTAATGTGAAACATTAAACCTGTTTCACAAAATGAAATCTTTGTCGTTTGCCTGAATTTCACTTCTCTTTAATATTTTTTCATAGTGCATGTCTCAGAAGAGTTGGAAAACCCCCATACACAGTAGCACCAGTACTGGAGAGCCAGGCAGGAGGAAAAGTATTCTGGTGAGTTAGTACATTCATGTATTTCAGACGCTACGTCATCACGTTAGGATTATTTATTTGCCTGGTGTTGAGACAAATTGTGATTACACCACACACAAAGTAAACAACCGCATTCAAAGTAAACAACAGGTTTGACTGAAATGCATGGTCCCTTTTTATAAACATGCATTTCCTACTTTTTAGATTGCTGTTTGTGTAACACACTTATACTATAAAGAGATTCTCATGTTTCCCTCAAAGGCCAAGCACTGCAAGAGATTCCAATCAGGAAAACACAGTGAGCTCTGTTGCCGCTCAGAGGGTGTGCTCTTAAAAATAGGTCCTGGTTTTGCCCCAACCTATCTGCTGTGAGGTTCATAGGTCACTGCTGTCTCATGTTTATAAACACTGTCTTGTCGACAGCCGTGAAGTCAGCTCGTAACCACACTTAACGTCCGCAGCATCGAGTCAGAACTCCTCGGCTAATCTTAATTTCACGCACCGCTCATTCAGGAACACACAGTGGTAAGTAGGTTGATTCCACTTTATGAATTTTCAGTGAGAATGAAGGCATTGTTAATGAGCAAGTTGTTTTTATTGGGCTATTTAGGGCCTTTTGAAAGTGTTGCATGGTTTATCACCTGGTTGACTCATTGTGAGAGAAAACACCCTGGCTTTTTGTTGTGGCTTTTATTTTTTAAAGGTACAGTATGTAGAATATTGTGATATCTACTGTTGAAATTGCATGTTGCTGCTGAATACCCCTCACCTCACCCTCTCCTTTCAAACATGAAAAAGAAACTGTGGTAGCCTTCAGTTGTCATATAAATTCTAAAGGTGTTTAGTTTGTCCAGTCTGGACTAATGTAAAAAACATGGCAGCCTCCGTAGAGAGGGTCCCCTCGATGTAAATATAAAGTATTTAAATATAAAGGGTCTTTTCTGGGGTAAAGAAAACTACAGTTCATACAATTTAGATGAAACGAACTAGTGAAAACATCATGAGGATTATTCTACTTTAAATTTCTGCCAATAGTTCCCTTTTACCTAAATCTTACACACTGGACCTTTAATATAATTTGAATAGAAATTTAAGCAACAGCAGTATTTATTGTCTGGATTTTGACTTTGACAAAAAAATTTGCTAAAATAGTGATGATAAACTCTTTTACACAAGCTCTTGATCTTGTTATATGGGGAAAAGGATCTCTAACAAGCTTATATTCATTAAATGATAAGCCATTGATGTTGTAAAGCCATTGATCACAGTGCCATTTCTTTAAGATGTATTCTCTTTAAAATAGTATAACTTTGGTTTCGTAAGAGTACGTGTGTTGAAACTTTATAGCCTGTGTTTTTGACAATTGTATGCCTCTTGTTGATAACCAGGCAGAAATCAGTGTGGTTGTTTTTTTGTCTTCTTCATTGACATTGTCACTCCCACAACCGTACAGTGTACAGTCTGTTAGCAGCCGCCACAGCTCTGAGGAGGATCACCCTCTTCGTTTTTAAAATTTCGTGTGTGTGTTGTGTGTGGTCCCTGCTGTGCATCATCTCAACATTGTCCAGTAGTACTGTTCATCTGACCCATCTTTACTCCTCTTTATCCCCACCCCTTATACATCAGCTGCCCACAGGCTTCACAAGAGACCTTATGAGCATCATTTGACTGCAATGGTATTGCTGCTTCAGGCTTTTCAGAGGGTGGGGAAAACAAGCAAATGGTTGCACAATCCTCAGAAGAGCGTTTTTCTCTTATTCTGAGCTAAAGGAAGCAGCTTTGGGGCTTTTAATGTTTTCTTTTTGTGTGTTATGTGCTTGTTGACTTTTCTAATTCTCCCTGTGTTTCTTCATAATTAACTCCTGCTCATGTGTTCACACTGAGGTGTCAGTGTGTCAATGCATCATTGATTAACACTGATTAGACAACACTGATGTCTTTTAAGGGCCAATACTGATCATTGATTTAATGACATCAGGATTGATTAAGGTGATACCAGTGGTTCCTGTTCATGATCATTTTTTTCAGATAAAGCTACTACTTGCCTCTTTCACCCACTGTTAGAATCAAATTTATTATATCATTCACGTCATTACTAATGGAAAAGGTGGCTGTGTGAGAATATACTGTAGGATCAGGGAAATGGTAATTA